TAAGAAAACCCATACCTACATAACACTGTCAATGCTTACAGTTGTGGGCTGACTCTGCCTGATGCTTCAAATTCATATGCATATTTTTACAATTGACCAATACAACTATGACCTGCTAATGGAAACATTTGCTAGCTTTAGATTATGTTTGCTGTTTGCTTCAGTTCCTGCCTTTTAGGACCCTAATGGCCATCAAAGGTTAAAATCTGGAGCATGAATTAATCAAAATAATTCTCACTTTGTTAATCACTTGAGAAGCTGCAAAAAGTAGAATTTGCCTTTTGATGTCATACAAGCTTGTCATGTCCAATTTTGATTTGGAGAATATAGGCAGAATAAAAGTATAGGCTGGTTTTAAATGCAATAGTCTTATTAGTTTTTGATTATGAACATCCACAATCTTACTTATCCCCTCAGTGTTGTTTCAGACCCAGAAAGTTTGTTTTGGACATTTTTGCTATCATACTCCAATGCTTACCCTGAGGGAAATGCAAAAGCATGGTCCCATTCTCACAATGTACCGGTGTTTGATGTGAAATCCTAAAAGTATCAGTTGCATATTGAGACTCCATGACCACCCTGTTCCCTAAGATGTAAATAACTACACACTGCACAGGATATTGGTTTGGGATCAAATAAGGGCACAACTTTATTGGTTACAGATGTGAAGTTTGGCCATAGGCATTGTGGTAAGCAACTGTGTATGTCATTCCCGCCTGTCCACTTGGAGTGTTTTTAAGGCTGAAGCTGGTCTAGGTCAAATTGGGGCATCCCCCAAGCGGTTCCTGTTGGAGGAATGGCCCCAGCCCCCTTCTGGGCATCAGACAGAAGCTGCTACTCCTGGATTCTTTTAACAGGATACCCTTACCCATGGAAGGGCAGGCTGAGGCTACAACCTCCCCTCCAACCAAGATTAGGCTTACCCAATGCCTGTCCACCTTACACAGTTGTGACGATTGCCACGAGGTAGACGAAAACCCAAATGGCAATGCCAATTTGCCAAGTGGGGAAAATTTCTGCTCAGCCTCTAAAAAATTAGGCAACTGACGTTGTCCATAGCAAGGTCGAAGCATCTAAAAGGCCCTGCCAGCCGGGCATTTAAACTTCCCCTGGGCATGGTGCCAAGGGCCACAATTGGTTGGTTGGTCCCATGTCCAGAGGAACACACCCTAACTCCTGCTGCCATTGGCCCATTTGGCAGCAAGAATACAATCCGGTCTGCGATAGGTTGGTTTGGCAAGGAGTCCTGGGCCCCGCCTGAAAAATTGCCCGCCTGAAAAGGGAGCGAACGGACTTAGCTGAGAAGTGGCATGTGGAAGAACAGAAGAGCTGAGAAGAGAACTTCTCAATTGACTTGAGGAAAGTGTCATTATACTTCTTGCCTAAATGAGGTTGGCCTCTCGGGTTTTTCTGACTATAGCTGCCCATATGGGTTTCTCGGAAGAGAGATAATGGCGTCTTCTTAGGTCTCTTCCAGACTTCCTTTTGTGCTGTGCCTTCCAGGCATAGGTCTGCACTTTCCAGGTCTGAGTGGTTTTCTTTTTGAACCACTGCTATTCCCAGAAAAAACGCTACTCAACACTGAATTGGAACAAATGGCATTCAGGTTTTTCCTGGTTTGCCATTTGTTCTGATTCAGTGGTAAACAGCGGATTTTCCCAGGGAAAGTGGTGGGACCATAAAACAAAAACAAAACTGCTTGAACACAGGGCTGGAAAACACAGGCCTGTACCTAGAAAGCGCAGCACAAAAGGAAATCTGGAAGAGCCCATACTCTGAGTCTCCTTTGATATTCCTATGAGGCCATTCTCTGTTTTTCCTGCTTGTGTCCCTGAGGGAACTGAATATGACCAACTCACTCATCACTAGGAAGTTCTACATCCCATAGCATGAGAGCTACATTATCTATTTCCAGAGCAGGGGTCTGCATAGCTTGCAAACTGAGAGGTCTTGGTCCATCTTGTCTTCCACATAGGCAGGGGAACTGTGAGGTTATTTCTCATAATCAATATACACACATTTTCCCCTGACCATTGTTTTCAGTGAAGTGAAATTCTATTTGAGTGTTACTACAATGGACATATGGAAAACGGATTGTATGCCACAAATAATTAATCTTAAAAAAAAGCATTCGCTCAAAAACATATCAGTTGAACCACCAGATGTTTAGTTCAAATTTTGAAATGGGTCTTTTTGAAATATTTAATATTTTTATATTTAATATTTATAGAGTAGAGAACCTACATTATTGCATAAATCTGTATGTTGAATACCGTGTGAAACATATGTGATGTAATATATCTGATACGTAATTTGACTCTCAAACACTATTCAGTGAATGCCCAAATTTTGGGACCAGTGGGTACATTCTGAATTTTAAGGATGCCGTATGGGCACCAGTAATAAAATGGCTACCAGGGCAAGGAATAGCACAAAATGGCTACCACATCTAAAAGATCGGGGGGGAAGAAACAGGATCCCAAAATGAGCACAATTTATATGAATCTTGGCTTCTTTTTTAAAGGAATATTTGAATGAACAGCTGTCTTATGAGGAATCTTCTGAAGAAAACAGGTCAAGCATTAGACCTTTAAACATGACATTCAGAATCAAAGAACAGCATCCTGGTTTTGACCCTTTCCAGGTGCACTGCCTGTATTGCACTAATGTGTTAGAAAAGGTTAGTGATTATTTTAAGCATTTTCACTTCCAGTTGAGATAAAATATTGCATGAAGTAATTGCATGAAGTAATTGCTACCAAGAAAAATGAAAATCCAGTCAGATGGTTTCTGACAGCTGTGATGTTGTGATAAAAATATACGGACAAAATCTAATAATTTTCACTTCCCAAATACTATACTTTTCCCCTGTATATATGCCCCCTCTGCAACTTATCAGTAAGCTCCAAAAATAAAGAACTGTTGCTGTATGTCATGACTGTTTGGACACAGAGGAACCAGCTGGGGAACCACCAAGAGAAGAAGGCTCAGAGTCTGGCCAGTGGTGATGGTGATGAGTGGTCAGAGGAAGAAGAGGGAGAAGGGTGGGAATAGATGTCAGAAGCTGAAGAAGTAACAGGGCTTAGTGAGCTGGGAGAGTCTGTGGCAGAGAGGAAGAGATGAGTCAGGCTGGGGAAGCGTAATGGGTGCCTCGCCCTCCTACTGTGACAAGCTCCCCTCCCCCCGATCTTAAAGAACCAGAAGAGGCATGGCTCAGGTATCTGATTATTATTTTTTCTGCTCTGCAGTATGGCAGCTTTTATCCCAATAGGTCAAGTGTCCTGGGGAACCAATAAGATCCCATCAAGCCATACAAAATTATTGTTGTTGTTGTTGTTGTTACTACTACTACTACTACTACTACTACTGAGTTTCTTAGCTTTAATCTAAGCTTGTTGCTAAATGCAGACTGAGATGCAAAAGCTTGCCTGAGAGCTGTCTTAACATGCTCTTTTGCATACTTGGGGCATAGTTTGGAAAGGGTTTCATGCATAAACATACGCTACCACATGTGGGTTGACCTTTTTGGATTAGGATTACACTTGGCTCCTTTCAAATATCGTGTAATGGTATGGAAGTTGCATTAAGAACATGGTTCTCTTTTCATATTGCCTCAATCACATAGCCAAATTTAATTGGCTGAATGTTTTGTCATCACAGGTATTATATGATTTTGCAGTCAAACCTAACAATGCATGCTTATGCTAGTTAGTAAATGAAGGGTTTAAGGACCATAGAACTGTAAATTGCTAGAGAAGGCTTGGCTAGGTCATGCCACCTTACCTTGGGGGGACGGGACAGAAAGACTAGTTTCCTATTCCTCTCTTTCTCTCTCCTCTTTGAACCATGTAATGGACCAGATGTTTGAGGCTTCAGACCACTTATTTGAGACTAGCTTCTTTATTTTGTAACCAAAAATACATTGCCTGTGTTGTTTCTGCTGTAGCGTTGAATAATGCATGAGAGCTCTGATTATTGTAAGTAAAGCATTTAAACTTACTTAAGGTTGTGGTCTATTAACTCTGAGAGAGGTGGAGCCAGGGAAGCACAATTGTGAATGCTTAATACTGGAACATTTTATGATCTAACAATCTATATTTCCCGTGCTTTGAAAGCACTTCAGATACTTCTGTTTAAGCTCTACTGGAGGCTCTTTTGGCTAGAGAGTGAGTCAAGCCCCCCAGGCTTTTTAAATTCAGCCAGTCAGCCATTTTTCTTCTGCAGTTTCCCACAAACATGGGAATTCAGGTATTCCCCAGTTATTTCGCAGCAGATTCACCAAAATTTCCCAAGGAAGAGGACCAGCTGTGAAATAATTCCACCATAGTATCAATGTAAAGGGGAAATGAGAAAAATCGGGGGGGGGGGGTTCAGATTTCCTAAAAATACTCATAGCTGAAATTCAACCATCAATCAATGCTTTCATATTGGAATCCAATTTTTAAAAATAATAACCACATTAATTAAAAGATTTCCACAGAGCTAATTAAGCTATTGGCTTCAGATAAATTCCTCTTAAGTTGGAAATTTGACCTTTTTTATTCCATGTGGTCCTAACTAAGCAATACTAAGACCCTTTGTTGGGTCTCTGGACCATAATAAAGATAGTTGTTGTTCTTGTTGTTGTTGTTGTTGTTGTAAGCAATACTAAAGAAAGGAATTGCTTGTTTTAGATAAGAGAGTAAAAATTAAACTAGGTCTTAATTTGTAAAGCAGATAATATTTTTATCATGTCTGTTACAGCTCCCTCCTTCATTCATTAATACAGTAGTAGCACAAGACCTTCAAATGCTGACAACTCAGGGCAGAATTTCTCTGCTGTGTGACAGGACTGCAATGCTCTATTAATCTGCAAGTGACAAGCAATAGTTAAATTGGATTACAAAAACTTTTACTGTGCTATCTTCTTATCAGCCTGTGGACAACTATCAAAAAAATTAATTAGTTTTTGTTTTTATTCTATTTTACACTGGCAATCCAATAAAATAGCCTAATATATCAATACTATAAAATACAACCATAAAATAATTGAAATTGCAAAGAACTATATGGACCCACTTGACTTTAAGAAGCCCTATTCAGAGTGGGGAGGCAGGTAGTAAATAGCTGTAGGATGGTTTCAATGATGATACTTCAACTATGTCCCCATTCCCTAGTTAATTCATTTTGTATCCTTTTTAATGGTATGTAGACACCAGTTCAAAGCATTTGTTGCTCACCCAGACTTTTAAAAATGATTGCATCTCTGTAAAATGGTACTCTGCTTATGGGGTGCTCCCACTAGCAGAAGGCAGTGAGTGGATTTTTGCCAATAATAATAATAATAATAATAATAATTTATTTATACCCCGCCCATCTGGCTGAGTTTCCCCAGCCACTCTGGGCGGCTCCCAATCGAGTGTTAAAAACAATACAGCACTAAATATTAAAAACTTCCCTAAGGCACTTGACCCTCTGCAAACCTGTTCTAGAGGGTTTGAGGACCCTCCAGAACTGTATGAAAGGTAATGTTGTGGGCTGCAAGGGGAATCTGAAAAAAATCACCTTTACTCTGTGTCACCATTGGGAGTCTCGGCTGGACAGAACATCCTTCTGTGAATGAAAGGAGACTGAAGCCTTAGTTTTTTATCTTGCTGCTGTTTTAAATTGTGTTTTCCCCCTCTTGGTGTGGATGTTTATTGAACTGCATGGACCAATGATCTAATTCAGTGTGAGGCAGAATTCTGCCTTGCTTCCCCTTTGTTTCCCAGGCTTTGGAATGCCCTGACAAAAGCCCTGCAAGATCTCACAAGAGCCCCCAGAACCCATGTGCTGAGCATCACTTGCCTGATAAGCAAGGCAGAGAGCTCTCAAACTCTCTGCCATTAAAAGCCTGCTCAGTGTGCCAGTTTCAGATGGTGAAGATACTCGTGTGGGGTGGTTCAAAGGGGACAGTTCAAGTATATGCATTTTTGGAATGTAACTCATGCACAAGATGTGATTGTACTCTATTTCATGCAATAACCTCATTCATCTAGCACATGGGTAGGCAAACTAAGGCCCAGGGGCTGGATTCCAGCCCAATCGCCTTCTAAATCCGGCCCGTGGACGGTCTGGGAATCAGCATGTTTTTACATGAGTAGAATGTGCGCTTTTATTTAAAAAGGCATCTCTGGGTTATTTGTGGGGCATAGGAATTCGTTCATCCCCTCCCCCAAAATATAGTACAGCCCCCCACAAGGTCTGAGGGACGGTGGACCGGCCCCTTCTGAAAAAGTTTGCTGACCCCTGGCTAGCAAAATCTGTTTTATGGAAAGAAGAGAAGTAGAACAGAACAAAGATAACAATACCACTGCATTGTTGCTAAAACAGGTGTAGTTGACCTATGTGAATCAATCCCAAGGGACTCTGTCATGGATTTCATTCATGGCTGAGGCTGTGTACGCACTTTGGCATTTGAAGTGCTGTATCTTATAGTTTCTTAGGGTTTCCCAAACATGGGTCTCCAGCTGTTTTTGGACTACAACTCCCATCATCCCTAGCTAGCAGGGCTAGTGGTCAGGGATGGTGGGAATTGTAGTCCAAAAACAGCCGGAGACCCAAGTTTGGAAAACCCTGATTTAACTGAATGGTTACATTTGTCAGCATGGAGAAAAGTGCTGCAACTGGGGGATAACCTTGTGTTGCGGCAAACCTAGTCCTCCTCCTCAAGTGTAGCCTTCACTGAAAGGGATGCTCTGTGCAGTGCAGTGTTTTTCCAGGTGCCTCTGCATTATACAAGCCTTTTCCCCAGTCATCTCTCCACCCAGTATGTCATAATTACATGCACTTTTATATTTAATAATATAATTAAAGTTATGTAATCACAAGTTTTGCTTTGTATGTCATACTTTCTTGTGTATAACAAGTGACACTGTTTATATTTATAGAAATTTAGGACAGTTATCTGGTGACTGGGCTGTCTTACAAAACAGCAGATAAGTAAAATATCACACTAATTATGAAACAGCATTCACTCCCAATTCCAGTTACATTGTTGATAAGGTTGTACTGATGGTAAATAAATAAATAAATGTAAATTGCTACAATACACAAAAAGTTGACAATTATTTTGTTTTTGTAACTGATATCAGGATTTCAGAGTAAGTGGTTTGGCAAAATGCTGTTAACAGTTGGAAGAATAACTACTCAAAAATTGATTTATCTTTATATAAAGAATGGCTACGTCCCCAAATGGATTTATAAATTAATTGCTGTCTTATTAGAATAAAACCCTTCTTCCCTGGGCATGATTGATGCTATCTGTCTAAGTCCTTGTTTCAGCCACCCCCCTCCTTAGTTAGTTTATCACAGCTGGAGCTTTAATTTACTGATCATATTAACTCTGATTAATAACTAACAATGCCTTCTTCTTATATATCAACAGTCTACCATTACTGAGTGCAAATGGGATTGGTCAGATTTGCTGCCGAGTTATTTGGGACTAAATAAAACGACTTTCATGGCACTACTGGAGCACAGGTAATACTTTTTTGGGGGAAGATAAAAGTTTCTCTTGAGTTCTGTAAGTTTTGTGTTCTGTGCAAAGCAACTTTGCAAATAACATTTAAACTGCTTGCCTAAAGATTTAATTTGAAGTTCTGCTTGTGTTGTGATGCTTTTCTGTCTTCCTGTTGCAAGTTCCTTGTGAACTTCTAAAAAGATGCTACTGAGGGCCACAGGCCCTCTGTAATATTGTGCATTGTGTTGTGGGGGCTGAAGTTGGAAGGTGGGAGTGTCAAGAAATTGGATACCCACCCCTTCCACAAGTAAACGTGTCTTCTGATCATAAAAGGGGCTCTCTCAATACAAAACTAAACAAACAAACAGTGGGAAAAATAAACATGGAAGGGTTCTAAAGGGTTATACAGGGGGCATTTACATCTATGTGCAAGGACCATTGAGGGACCCTTTTTAGGGTATCAATCTACATTGCCTGCCAAGCCAGTGGTATCTTATGTGGCATAAGAAATTGCAGTCAGAAAAGTATATTATGGAGACCAAAAAAATGTATGCATTGGTATCTTCAGTGTATAATATTATTTCCTGGTGTTGGTGTGCATGAATGAGCTTACATAAATGAGTTGGCATGAAAGGAATATAGTTTAAGTATGTCTATAAAGAGATTGTTTGTAATAAAACAATGTGATTGTTCCACTGTGGGCAGAACACTTAATTTACATTTAACATGTTAACACAAGCCACCAAAATTATGTTGAGTGAAGGTGCGACAAATGCTGTAGTTCTGTTTATGGTGATGAAGCAGATTTTTGTATTATATATAGTATTGTAGAGAAGCAGGAGTTGTGTGAGGTATGTTCCTTAAGAAGAAGTAGCTACAATTACCGTACATCCTGGCCCAACTAGTGCACTCACTAAGATGAGCTGTTTAAGTGTGTTTACGTGAAGGCTATGGTACATTGATCTCTCTTTGAGAGCTTAAGGCTGCAGAAAACAACCCATTTGCAAATGGTACAGAAATGAGTGCTGTATTTGTGCTACATTCTGCTGCATTTCTGGAAATGGCTCTAATGTCATGTGAAAGCTCAAACATAATGTGGAAGTCAACAGGAAAACATTGGGAAAATGGAATAAACTGCTGTGTGAATCCAGCCTCAGACAGCATGAGGTTTATAACTAAAGCAAAACTTTTAAATGGAAATGTGAACTGCTATTGAAAACTTGAGCTTGGAAATCATAATTAATATGTGTAAAATGTGATCTGATTTTCAAACTGCAGTTTGTGAAATTGTGAAATAGCATCCCCCCCCCATTTTGATATGTAGTAGGGGAGAGTTGACCAGGGAGTTTCAGCTGTTCTGCATTAGCTGTGTTTTTAAGTCCCAGGTTTCTGCTGGTGATTACAGAGAATTGTGTAGCATTTAGTAAAACTGTTGCCCCATATATTATACAGTATATTTACAATAGATGCTGTTGGAAAAAATGGTAACGTATCTTTCAGAAATCAGTAGTTTTAAAATTGCAAACTGTAGCCAGGTCACCTGTAGAACTTTAGAATGTAACTAATATGAAGTAAAATATTTTTCTTGTTTAGAGTTATCACAGAGGAAAACTGAATAAATCATGTATATTTTTTAGTGGATACACAGACAGCATCTGTTGTGAATGTTAGCCATATGGCAAGCTATTTATGGGGGAAATGTTTACATTTATAATGTTTATTGTGTTGTTGATTATCCATATATTCAGAAAATGCTGTTCTAAAATCTTGTTCCATCAACAAGCTTAAAATCTCTTTTATTATCATGAATTTGAGCAATATATGAGCAGGTTTAATTGAGCATGCAAAAGTACCTTTTTATGGCATCTGATGTGTTAGCATAGCATGATGAAGTGACTCTCGATAAGTCTGATCTGTTTGTAGAAAAAAAAAAGGTGCCACATAGCTCGCCCCACCCGCCTTATAAAGTAATAGGGTGGTTAAGGAATATACTAAAAAGAGACTTACATGTCACAACCAACAAATTCAAATTAGGGATGGGGACAAATTCAGAACTGTGGGGGTTGATAATATTGAACTTTCCCAGTATCAACATTCTCAACTGAATAACAAGCCAACCCCAGACCCTTCCAGATTTGGGCAAATTGGTGGAACAACCAAACTTGCCACGGGCATGCAGTAATAAAGTTTAACATTATCTGATGTGGATCCACCCTTAAATCCACTCCTGTTTTGAAATAAACAGGTTTAAAATTTTATACTGTTTGTTTATAACTGAATAAGAACACAAGACGATCCCCATCTAGTCTAGCATTATGTTCCAGCAGGTGCCTGTAGGAAGCCTGCAAGCTGAATGTAAGCACAATGCACTCTGCCCACTTGTGATTCCCAGCAGACCATTTTTATTTTCATTGAAGTTCTGGGCCCATAAAAATCCTGTTGGTGCCCCTTCTTGAACACCCGGTGCTTGTTGATGGTGTTTTTCCTTACTTCTGATGGCATCTTCACATTTCTGAATCATTCTGTCTACTTTAGGTCCATCCACTGCTTCAGAACTGAAAAGTTATCTGTCAGCCTCATTGCACCTCCATATCATTTCACTGGGGCATTTACTGGTTACTGGACCTGATACTGTGCCATGACAGAGAGTGGGCACTTCATTTAGCATGTCAGAAACTATACAAAGCTGAATTCTTGCTATAATACCCACTCGAATGTTTGTGCACCAAGGCCCCTGAATGTAACTCTGGACTCTTCCAGATGACCTATTTATTATTCATCTTGATTTGCTTGCACAAAACTTACACAGAGGTTAGGATATATCAGGTCTTTATTGAGCATTAATTCTTACTTGTTTATAGGACTGTTATAGGCAGTGATTTTTTTCTTAAAAAATGTTTAGGGTACTCTCACTTTGACTCAAGAAAATCACCATTTTATACTTCAAATCGGGCAAAATAAATATAGCAAATGGACAAAAGTACAAAGATTCACAAAATCTTTAGGGGTATGCATACCCTTGTGTCCCCCCCAGAAAAAAGCACTGGTTATAGGACAATAAGCATTCATCCTGATTTCCTTGAGGGGTGTTTACATGTCTTCCCATTAGGCTTTCATTCATCCCGGACTTCTCAGAACATTTATCCGTTACTTTCCAAACTTCTAAAAGTAAAATGAGTGTTTGCCATCACTAAATCATATGACAATATTTTATCAAAATACAGTGGTGCCCCGCAAGACGAATGCCTCGCAAGACGAAAAACTCGCTAGACGAAAGGGTTTTCCATTTTTTGAGTCATTCCGCAAGACAAATTTCCCTATGGGCTTGCTTCGCAAGACGAGTTTGTTTCCTTTTTCTTAAAGCCGCTAAGCCATTAATAGCCGCTAAGCCGCTAATAGACGCTAAGCCGCTAATAGCCGTGCTTCGCAAGACGAAAAAGCCGCAAGACGAAGAGACTCGCGGAACGGATTAATTTCGTCTTGCGAGGCACCACTGTATGTAATATAAAACTAACACTTTCTTAAAGATCTCTTCTGTTCTGGTCTTTATTATTAGATTTGACCTGTAAAGCCTATTTCTTATCAGAAACATAATAATTCTAATGACTAGAGATCCAGCCTTACAACAGACCATTTACATAGCACATTAAAAATAAAGAAGTTCTCTCACTGGTAACTCAGAAAACTAAGTGTAGCTTAGCTAATGCCATTTGTAGACTTTTTTCTTCAGATGTTTGAGAAGCAAGTTTTGTTTTGTTGCTGATGCAGAACTCCACATCTTTGGCTCATTACTTCATTGTGTGTTTTTATTGAGGGAAATACGGTAGTTCTGTTCCTTAACAGAAAGACAAATCTCTTTTGCAATTCTTTACTCATACCTGGGAATAAATTCCACTGAACTCAGTAAAGCTTACTTCTTGAGCTGCTTGGGAAAACAATGGGATATAAATGTAATAGTAAATAAATGCATTCAATATAATCTACTCCTTTTCTCTCATACTTTGACCTACATTCAGGGATCATACATCATGATATTATGGAGTTGCATAAAATAACATAACATATGACAGTTGCCATATGTGAACATATATACATGTTCCATAAGTGGTCATCATATGCATTGTTGGTATGATGACATTACGGGTACACAAAGTGGATCACATAAAATCACTCTACTTCCTGTACCCTTACAACTTATTTCTCCAAACCAGTTTTTGGAGATGGGCCCATAAAGTATGTCACAAATTGTGAGGGGCATGGCTAGAAAAGTTGTTATATATGTGGGATGGGGTATTGGTTAAAGCATGGAAAACATGACAAAGATGTGGGAAGGGTTTTTTTTTAAAATAAAAGTGTAATATATTTTATGATGTTCCCATTAGTTCTGTTTAGACTGACTCACACATCACACAATGCCAGTCTTTGGCTTAGTGCAAATGTGCAGGCTCCCAGATAGGAGCTTGCAGGTGCCACCTTCTTCTCCGGTCTTCTTTACTGCTGTACTGCACCAGTGTAAGCCGATGTTTGCCTTGGAATGCCTCCTGAACATAGGATTATCCAGACTAACCATGAGCTGCAACCAAGGTTTGTTCTTTGTTACAGCTTGTGGTTCATAAAGAGAGAGCTTAACCATGAGTCCTGGTCTGGATTAAACACTAAATCAAACCTGGGATTAGTGTGGTGTGACAGCAGAAAGAACTGGGGAGAAAAAAGGGGCTACAAGCTTGTTTCTGGGAGCCAAGATTTGGTTTAGTACAACTGCGAAGCAGGTTGTTGAATTAAATATTCCTGAAAATACTCAGATGGCCGATTTGTCTAGATAGCATTAGCAAACTGTTGTTTTCGGCAGGCAAAGCCCCTTGTTGTAAGACCTGCACATTATAGTAACAAAGAATCAGAGTATTGTCATTCCAAAAGTTTGCAATATGAAATATGTCACTGAGGAAAGGTTTTTTTTATTAGTCTTTAGATTGACAGGTTATGACAAAACTGTATTCATGTTGCTTGAATACATCTTTTG